GACTAAATGTGTTTTGGTTACCACAAATGTATATTTTTTGACCAAATGAGGTAGTCACCAAATATTAAAATCAAATTATACTAGATATTTGGTGACTGAATTTCTTTTAGTCGGCAAAAGTTAGTATATGATGGCTAAAATTTATTTAGTTGTTGAAAATAAATTTTTGGCGACCAAACTTTTGGTCGCTAAAGATAAAAAGTAAATTTTTATTTTTCATTCGGCGACTAAATAATTTTAGTTGCCAAAACTAACTATACAACTGGGCTCATCCTCCTTCTCCTCCACTGGTGCCTCCGTCGGATTCGAAAGATTGTCGAGATCTAAATCAAATTTGAGTCCTCGTCTCGATTTTTGATCTCTCTCAACCTTCTCTCTACCACACCCCTCGAAACAAGCTAGCTTAGAAAACATGAACCAGCTTAGATTACCCAAAGTTGTAGGAATGGGCCAAGTGCTTTAGGTGTTTTTAAAAAGTGTTTTCGAAAATCTTCATCTTCTTCCTCTTCATCATCAGCTAGGGTTTCCTAGTTTTCGAGCTCTTCGAAGATGTCAATGGCGTCGCAAGAGCATCTGGAAAAGATGCAGCTCTGCTAGAATTACTGTAACCTCTGGTACACCGATCTCATGGGCACCATTCTGGTTGACACTCCATGTACTCTCTCTCTCCCTCTCTCTCTTTCTCTCTCTCTCTCACTTTTGTACTCTAATATGGTATTAATTTTGGTTTGTTTTCTTTGATGTAAATTGTTGCCTTGCGTTTTGGTGGCCACCAGCAATGAGGTGGGGGTGAAGGAGAATTTGTGTGAGAGAAAGAACAATCTGATTTGTTTAAACAGAGAACAGGCGGGGACAATTGGTTTCCCTCTAAAATTTTCACACCTTTGGCGACAAAAGTAGTTTTTGGTTGGCAAATGTTAATAATTGGTGACTAAAATTTTTTTGTAGCCAAATCTTAATTAACGACAACTAAAATATTAGTCGCCAAAAGTATTAATTTGGCGACTAACTTTTTTTTGGTCGGAAAAAATAAATATACGACGACTAATTTTTTTTCAGTCGCTGAAAATAAGTTTTTTGCGACCAAAATTTTGGTCGCTAAAGATAAAAAATAATTTTTTATTTTCCATTCGGTGACTAAATAGTTTTAGTAGCTGAAACTCAATATACGGCGACTAAAATATTTTTAGCCGCTGAAAATAAGTTTTTGGCGACCAAAATTTTGGTCGCCAAAGATAAAAAAATAATTTTTTATTTTCCATTCGACGACTAAATAGTTTTAGTAGCCAAAACTCAATATACAGCGACTAAAATATTTTTAGTCGCTAAAAATAAGTTTTTTGACGATCAAAATTTTGGTCGCCAAAAGAGAAAATAATTTTTTATTTTCCATTCGGCGACTACATTGTTTTAGTAGCCAAAACTCAATATACGGCGACTAAAATATTTTTAGTCGCTAAAAATAAGTTTTTTGGCGACCAAAATTTTAGTCGCCAATTCCACAACCAACTTGTTTTTGATCTTCCGCGACCAACTTATTTTTTGGTCGCCAAAATGTGACCTTCCGCGACCAAATTTGTAGTTGGTCGCCAAAACCATACCACTTTCTACGACCAACTCATTTTTTGGTCGCCAAAATATGACCTTTTGCGACCAACTCATATTTGGTCTCCAAAAGGTAACTTTTAGCTACTAACTTTTATATTGGTCGCGGAAAGTGGTCGCTAAAAGCGCATATTCTTATAGTGGTTGTATTTAATTCCTATCAAGTTCTATTGTAAATAAGTTATAGTACAATTGACGTTAACGATAATTTTTTGTGACTTTTTTTTACATATGTTGCTAAAAATTGACAATTAGTGACTTTTTTTGTCACAATTTTTATAAATTGTCTCTTAAACTTACAATTAGTAGCGTTTTTTGTGACGAATTTTTTAAACTGTCATTAAAAATTGAAAATTAGTGATTTTTTGTGACGATTTTCTTAAATTGCCGCTAAAACTTATAATTAGTGAAAAATTTTTGTGACAATTTTTAAATTGTAGCTGAAATTAACTATTAGTGACTTTTTTAACGGGGTATAATAAAAAATACCATTAATTATCATAGAATTTATTGAATAATAAGTCCATTTAATATGACCTACACGTAAGTCCCCCTTATTTATAGCCCATTTAAATTTTTTTTAATACTAGTTATAGAATTTGAATGGATTTAATGACATCCCCTCGAGAATAATAAACTTTAATTGGAGGTGTGGTTTAAACTTTAAAGTCTTTGCAAATAGTGAACAAATACTTGTTTTAGCCAGTTTTTGTAACAATCCTAATATATATATATATATATATACTTTTTTGATAACTTAGGATGTTTATATATATATATATATATTCTTTTTTGATAACTTAGGATGTTCGGTTTAGCTTGTGTGTACATCAATTAATTTTTGAGAGATCAATTTCACCGTCTAGTAATAAGAGCCTAATTAAATTAAAGCCATATCAGAATTCTGTATGGACTCATCCACGACAAAAATTGATATCACCTAAGAGATTTCGAACCTAAGACACAGAGAGGAGTAAACTCTTAGTCCCAAAGTTATACCATTAAGTCACCCCTAAACTATTGAATGTTTGTTTTGAGTTTTACATTAAGGCTCCGTTTATTTTCAGAGATAAAATGAAGGGGATTAATAGTGAGGGGATTAATAGTGAGGAATTATTAAATTATTTTTATATAAAATAATAAAACAAATAAAAAAATATAAAAAATTAAACATTAATATTTAAAAAAAAATTCCCAATATATAAAAAATAAAAAATAATTTCTAATCTACTCACTATTTTTCTAATACCATCTCTATCTCCTCCTTACCAATCCCCCTTCCAAGGGGACTACTAATACCAAGGGATAAATAGTCTCCTCATCTCTCAAAACAAACACCCTATTAATAATACTAAAGGATTAGTAATCCCAATGTCCTCTCTATAACCCAAGCAAACGAGGCTTAAAAAGGCATAAGGTGAGCTATGAACATTCAAGTATGAATGTTGTTAAAAAATAATAATAATATATATCTCTATTTGATAGGTTTCTTCGTATGTCTATGAATTCGTTTGGGAAGTAAGTTGACTTTTTAATTTTTTGATTTTTTTTACTATTTTAGCTTGGGTTAAAAAGTTTAGTTTGGAAAGGATTTTTTAGCTTTTTGACTTTTTTCACTTTTTTGTGAGAGAAGAGTGTAATGATTATAGATTAGATGTGATGTTTTGTTTGTTGTAACTAAAATAACCTATTTTATTTTTTATGACTAAAAAAATCAAAAAAACCCATAAATCAACTTGCCAAACGGAGGCTTGATTGACACAAATATTTTTTTTTTCTTCATTATATTACGCGTTCTTCAAAGTTTGGTGGTGTAATTTTCTTTTTAAGTGTATTTTTTTTATATTTATAAAATATGTTAATAATCAGGTCAAGTCAAATTCAATGAACATAAATTTTAATGATTTCGCTATTACCTAATTCTATGAATTTAAATAATAATTCAAAACTTTTTAAATTATATTAATTATAAATTGGACTCTGCGATAGGGCTGAGCAAGGAATCCGTGAAATCCGTAATCCGATCCAGTCCAGTCCAATCCGATAGGTTTGGATTGGTTTTTTGAATCCGTGGTTCGGTTCCGGATTGAATAATTAAAAATCCGTAGTTCACGGATTGGTTTCGGATTGAATCCCACGGTTTCGGATTGGAACCGATCCGGACCGTATACAAATAGTCTATATTTTTATTATACATCCTCCCCCATAGTATCTTTTCTTATTCTATGTAAAATCTAAACTCAAACCTAAAATCGTATAATATCTTCTTTTATCACTTTTGTTTGTTAGTTTTAAGTTTTAATTTGCAATGGTCTAAATACTTATGGTGAAACCAGTTTTCTTATGGTTGTTTAAATTCTAGAACAGTATGTCGTTATTATAGAAAAACATGTTGCTATTATGGAACTAATATAGCGCTATGTTTATATTTTTATGAAATTCAAGTGTTATATTTATATTTTTGTTATTTAATTATGTGAATCCGTGGTCCTAAACCGATCCAATCCGTATTTAAATGGATTGGTTCGGATTGGTTCCATGATTTAAACGGATTGGATTGGTTCCAATTTTTTAGGAACCGTAAATAATGGATTGGTTCTGGTTTTATCCCAATCCGGTCCAATCCGGACCATGCTCACCCCTACTCTGCGAGCCATCTGACCCAAATAAACCCTTGATATCCAACCGCACAAATTTTTTTTGTGTGTACATTTATTTTAATTCTTCGATACTAGTAAAAGTATTGCCATACTTGGTTCTAATTTTTTGAATTTAGTATTTTAAAAATTGTGTTTTTTATTTTTTTATTGTTTTTAATAAATTTTTTAAATATTTTTTTTTAACTTTTTAAATGTACTTAACTTAGATGTACTTAAAAAGTAAAAGATTTATAAAAAAAATATATTTTAAAAATTAATAAATACGTAAGAATACGAAAATGTATTAATTTTTTAAGAATAATGCTTGGGACCCCCTTTTGGGGGTCACCCCCTCACCCCCCTTTGCCACGTGGCGGGTGGTGATTGGAGGAGCAGGAAAAAAAAGAAAAAGAAAAAGAAAAGGTAACCAATGAGAGAGAGAGGGGGTCAAAGGGGTAAAAAAAAATTATTAAAAGTAAAAAAAACATGAATAATAAAAAAATTAATTTTTAAAAAATTAAATTGAGAAAATTAGAACCAAACAAAGTGATGGCGTAATGTTTTGGCATTGGTTCAATGATATAATTACAGAAAATAGAATAAAGAACTGAAGAAAGAAGAAAATCTACATGTGATTTTGTAGAATTGTTTACATTTCCTTTAAAGGAAAAATAATACTAAATATTTTTGGTACGTAAAGAATATTATTAATTAAAAAAAAAAGTTACTTAAAACAAAAGAAAGAAAAAGGAAAAAGAAAAAGAGGAGAGAGAGCAAAGATCAGACAAAATTGCAGATTCCATATAAAAGCGTGCGTTCGAATGATTCTTCAAGGAACGTATGTACGCGACTGCTAATGTATCTGTATGTCTATCAAAAACACAACCCTCCATTCCCACATTTCTTCTTCTTCTTCTTCTTCTTCTGCAAATAATTTAGTTTCAGACTCGTGATTTGTAGATTAGAGAAAATGGGTTATTGCCCATGCTTCGGTTGGAAGAAAGGGATTAAGCTGAAGAGTGGGGATGAGATAGAATTCAAGCAATCCCAGGCCCTCAACCTCCCTGATTTGTCATCTGGTTAGTTTTTTTTATTATTTTTTAAATAATGTTTTTGTTGCTTTATAAAAAATTCATTGATTTCACATATGGAACTCGTGTTTTTGTTTTTGTTTTTTTTCCCGAATCGTTTTGGGAGTTGGGTTGGTGTTTGTTTTCGTTTTACAATTTTTGAGTTCCGATTTTTTATACTAGTGATCTTTCATTGTGAAATTGACTGTCTTGATCGATCATAATTCTTGATAGCATAATTGGGTTCGTTTCTATTCTCTGTTTTGCCCTCATAGCATAATTGGCAATGTAATCTTTTTGTTTCATGTTTCATGATAGTATTACCCACATCTCAACTTGAGATGGAAGATGCTTTACTTTAGTTAATTGACAATAGAAGAAATGATAAGCGGTTTTCTTGTGTTTCCTACATTATAAATTCAGTTAATGCTTATATATGTTTCTGTCACTCATGGTGTGGTTCTATGCAAGATTGATATGTGGCTCACTGGGACAATTATCAAACACTTGATGAAGGAACTTATGCTTAGCCTCAATGAGGTCAAAATTTCCTGTGAAGACAAATTATATGGGATCACTTGTCTCAGGAATGAATTCTCCTTGAATCCCTATTGTAGCGGAAAATGTCATGCTAATTACCCAAGAGAAAAATTCTCTCAATCTCTGGTACTAGAAACAACTTTTAACTTGTGATAATCCTTGTAAAAGGGCTCTACTGAAATGTCATCATCAGAATTCACAATGGTTTTTACGGTTTACCATCTCATAACAAAACCTTTTTGCTAGATATGATATCTGAAATCCATTTAGTATCACATGGTTTTGAAATTTTGATCCGTGAAAGTGCTTATAGTTCTCTTCCAGGATGAATGCATGGGTGAAAGAATCACATCAGCTGAATGCCTCGTGATTCCCTTTTTCTACAAATCTTGCATGGACCATGGACAAGAGGGTTACAAGTTTATGCAGCTAATATTGCCTTTGTTGAAGCTGTTTTGATTTGCATGTTGATTTAGGAACTTCTCTCACTTGGTATTTCTTCACAAATTGCTTTCCTTACACAGATCCTGGATGTGCCATTCTTTTCCTTTGTTTGTCCACACTGCACAGTAAACAGGCACAATACTCCGTAAATCAATGCACATAATTATCTAGAGATGTATTAAGCGGAATGAATGTTGTCAATCAGGTTGTGCAGAACACTATAAACAAATTATGTGTCAGTTCCCAAAATGTGGTAAAATATGGCATTTGCTACAAATTTTAAAATTTTCAAAATGATAATCAGTTGAGAGGTTATTTATTTGAATCAGGCACAGGTATCTTTGTTAATTTTTTATTTTTCTAGTGAAACTCTGTTCCAAATATCTATGCTTTCTTGGATCCAAAGTCGAGTGAAAACAACAAACTCTTCAAAGTGGTGATGCTCCAATGACATGGAGAAAAAAGTACAAAACAGTGTTTTTGGCTCCATTCTTAAACTAGGAATACAAATCATAGCTGTTACCATTTCATATCACACATAAACCTCCTAAAAATGGGACTTCCAATGAAGAGTAATTACTTATAGGAGAACTGAAAAATTCATGTTTTGTATATCAAAGAGTTCTTTATTCACCCTATTCAAAAAATTATTATTATTATTTTTTTAAATTAGACACATGCATAACTATGTCCCAGTTGGGAATTAAATCCTCCGCATCCCCTTTTGGAGATGGCAGGAGATGCTGCTCAAGCTAACAGCTGGTGGTATGTCAGAACTTTACATATTATAACTGGTTGTGTGACTTAACTTTTCCTGTACTTAGAACTTTTACTTTTTCTGGTTTATTAACTTAATTGGAGTCTAATGCAGATGAATCAAAGACCAATAAAGAGTCAAGACTGGAATCATCAGTTTCAAAAGATGTTTCTGGTGCCAATAATAACAGTCAGACATTCAAATACCGAGAGCTCGCAACTGCAACAAACAATTTTAGGTTTGAGTCCCTTATTGGGGAGGGTGGTTTTGGACAAGTATACAAAGGAAAAATAGAAAGCACCGGTCAAGTAATTTTCTCTATCTGATGAACTTTTAGTCTTTGCTTCACTCTCTTACATGAAAGAGCATGGCTTTTTAGCATCAATCACCACCTTTCACTATTTCTCTTAATCCTATACTTGAAGTGGAGGACTTTATTTTGTTGATAAAATGTGTTGCTGTTGTTTGCAGGTTGTTGCTGTTAAAATGCTAAATCAGGCAGGTCTTCAAGGGGACAAGGAGTTTCTGGTGGAAGTTCTCATGCTCTCTCTTCTGCGTCACCCTAATCTTGTCCATTTGATTGGTTACTGTGCTGAAGGGAACCAACGCCTTCTCGTATATGAATTCATGCCGTTAGGTTCATTGGAGTATCACCTCCATGGTAGGATTCAATGCCATTATTTTGAATTTCATGAAATTTATTCAGTTTCTTTGTTTTCAAAAATTGCATATCATATTTCTTTTTCAACCATCGGTAAACTAGAAAAAATCTTTCAAGAAAAGTGTATGCACAGGTTTTCCATTTTTGCTTTTAGTTGAGACTGTAGCAGACGCTTTGAAATATTGAAATTTTGTCATTTGAAAGACATACTTCACAATAAAATTATTTATATGTTTTGTTTGATCCCTTTTTTGCAGGGTAGTATTATATAATGATTGTACAAGGACCATGTCTTTCTGTAATATTATTTTTTATATGTTTGCATTTTTTTTTAATGCATTATAAATTGTATGAATATCATTGGACCTCACCTCACAATGTTTCTCTCCCGTACTACGCAGAACTAATTCACTGGCACGCCCAATGAAAAAGCTGTATGCTGGAACTTCTTTTCGTAGTACACATAAATTCTGAGATAACGAATAGAGTATACTGACGTGGCAGGCACCATCTATTACATTTTTAATCATATTTATCCAAACTGGAACATGGTTGCTATGAGAGCACCTCCTTCTTGGTGAAAATAACCCTCTGGGGCCATTCCATCGGGCAATATTGTGCTTCTTGCAGGATATTATCTTTAGGTCAATTACCTCCAGCATATTTCTTTGTCGAAATTTATTTGTAATCACTTTCTGATGACTAGTGCCCCTACGTATCTAATGCTAAACTTCTTGTTCACCTTCATAAGAGAGAGAACATTTTTGTGTTTTTATTTCTTTGGAAAAAATTAGCACTTGGTCATTGTGCCAAGCATTTGTTAGCTCTTTCTCATTTGACATTAGCACATTTCAAGGGAATTATATTTACAAATTCAAAATATGTATAGTTTGTTTGTGGTTTAAAAGACATGCATATGTATATAATTTTTTTTTGGCTCTGACTAAGCATGTAGGTGTAAAATAGCAATCCTCTCCCATTTTGTCTGCATAAGAAATTGCATTATTGTCAATTTACCAACCATTTCTAGTCAATTTAATTGATTACATGCAGCTCATAACCTAAGCTCTCTTTCCAGATCTTACACCTCATATGGTACCACTGGATTGGAACACTAGGATGAAGATAGCAGAGGGTGCAGCCAAAGGATTGGATTACCTGCATAACGAAGCAGATCCTCCTGTTATATACAGGGACTTGAAGTCCTCTAACATATTATTGGATGAAGGGTTCAACCCAAAATTTTCTGATTTTGGGCTTGCAAAGTTTGTTCCAGAAGGAGACAAGTCACATGTCTCTACAAGGGTCATGGGAACCCATGGATACTGTGCCCCTGAGTATGCTATCACTGGAAAACTGACAAAGATGTCCGATATCTACAGTTTTGGGGTAGTCTTGTTGGAGCTGATTTCTGGACAAAGAGCATTGGATACAACTCGCGGACGTGGCAAACATATGCTTGTTGATTGGGTAATTGCCTCTATAGAATTCGAAGAGAAATACAAGTTTTATATCTACTTTCTAAATTCTTTCCTGATTTCTTGTTTTGTAGGCACGTCCCATGTTAAAAGACCGGACGAGCTTTTTGCAATTAGCTGATCCAAATTTGAAAAGCCAGTTCTCAGAGACTGTTTTATGCAAGGCTGTAGAGGTGGCATCAATGTGCGTCCGTGAAAATCCTCACTCTCGTCCTTGTATGAAGGATGTAGTGCTTGCTTTGAATTACTTGACTTCCCACCATTGTGATCCCACTGGAAATGGTGCTAGAGGTGACAAACGTAGAAGGGCACGGCATAGAGATGCACGAGTAAGTGAGAACAAGGTAGATTTCAATGATTCTGAGAACAGTCCACAGGAAACACCAACGCCAGACAAGGATTTAGAACGGGAACTTGCTGTTGCAGAGGCCAAGATGTGGGGTGAGACGTGGAGAGACAAGAAACGACAAAATGCAGAAAATGATGATGATAACTTAGACAGGTAGTAGCATTTGGGAGATTTCTTTGCGGGGGCATTGTTAGCGTTTAGAACCTCTAGAAAAAGAAAGACATATAATTTGCCATCACAGAATACTTCAGATCACTGTAAGTTCAGCGGACAAAATAATTGTGAGAATTTAGCAAGGACCTCAGAAACAAGTGAGGAAAGTTTTCCTGCTTCACAACCGACTTCACTCTTGAGCTTATATTTAATTTTCGGTTTTTAGATTATGTGGTGTTATGATCGGTATAAGGTTTAGCAAGGACTTCAGAAACAAGTGAGGAAAGTTTTCCTGCTTCACAACCGATTTTATTCTTGAGCTTACATTTAATTTTCGGTTTTTAGATTATGTGGTATTATGATTGGTAAAGGGTCAATTTTGTGGAATAAATGTACCATTTTAGTGGCTAGTTTGGCACCCTTGTTGACAATATAGAAGCACACCATCTTAAAAGGCTTTCAACACTGGTTTTTCAAATTCATCTTTGACTTCATAGTATATTCCCATGAAAAATGGGAGCACTCATTGATCAGGAGCATAATTGATGATTCTCCTATCTGAAAATAATTATCCCAAGAATCACTGACCCTAGGATACAGATACATTTAAATGATTTGATTTAGGAATAATTACATAAATTCAAAATTCATAAATAATTCCATGTTATGTAATTGTGGAGCAAAAATAGGGGTCGCTGATTTGCTCGACAGTTCCAGCATTTTCACTTGATCTTGTTTCTCCACAACACAAATCCAAACCCTGAAAATTTCAGGCTCCCCAAAAAAAAAAAAAAAGAAACGTTTTTGAAATTAAGAACCATGTAAATGAATGTTTTGTTTTGATGAGGCCTGGCCTCACACAGAGCAAAAGACATTTTAATTGGCATATATATGTTTATAATTGCCTAAAATAAAAGCAATCCATATTCAAGGAAATAAAAATAAAAAAATAAAACAATGTAAAATAGGAAGGTCCTACCGGGAGTCGAACCCAGGTCGCTGGATTCAAAGTCCAGAGTGCTAACCACTACACCATAGAACCCTTGAACGTTAAACTAACCTCTGAATAATTATATAAACTAAAATTTCAAACTAAAAATAAAATAAAATTACAATATTAACTTTCTTAAATGAGTTTTTCCCACATAAGAAATTAAAGTAAATAAGTTTTGTCTCAAAATTTTGACTCTCGATTCTTACTTCGATTATTCACCATTTATATCACTGCCAATCAATTATTTATTTATTTATTTATATATTTTATATTTTTAATCTCACTGCCATACACTTGTTGACCTTAGTATCCTGTAATTTTCAACTCTCATGATCTATTTGGCTCTTACACTAGGTGGCTGATCATTACCTACAATTGATTATTTTGAGCAAGGAAATTTACAAGGTCAATACCAAACACAAGTTGAAAGAGAGATAAGTAAGAAAAAAATAGTGAAGTGTGGTCCAACCCACAATTCAACATTCAATCAAACTGTTTTGAAAAAACATTGCCATATGGCTACAAATCAAACAGGTTAAGAGTTGAATATTGATTGCATGCTGGAACTTGAGCCCCACCTCACTCACTTCTATTCCATGTTATTAAAACTTTTGAGTGCCTTCAAAGTTCAAATGTATCAATACAATCAATACTACAACGAGGATGTCATCATGATTGTCTAGTTAACTATATTTATTTATATACTTGTTGCTTGTAAGTCTGTTCAATTGTTTTTATGTGGGCATGGGTTTTGTTAAGCTCTTTGAAATGCATGCTTGGCTTATAATTAGCAAAAGGTAGGTCGGCAACTGCTCCAAAACAGTTAGGTCTCCCAAGTTGTTATTTAAAATTCATTACCATCACATTCATTGTGCCTACTTCCAACAATGGCATCCCTCCATAAGGGCAATTCTATGGTACACGGGATTATATTACTTATTTTTATGATATATGTTACGTATTTTTTTTATTATAAAATTATAACAATTTGTAATTCATAAATAAAATTACTCATTTTGTAGTAATATTATGTATTTTTGTGATATTATTAGACATTTTTTATTTAAATATTTTATAATAAAAAATATGTAATATTATCATAAAAAATGCTTAATCTTATCACAAAATGTGTAATTTCATTTCTGAATTACAAATTGTTATAATTCTACCAAAAAGATATGTAATATTTGCTAAAAAAATAAATAACATATGCTATAAAAATATATAACAAAGGTGTTATGATATACACATTTTGAAGATGCCATAGCATTACCCCTCCATGAAAGTTTAACAAATATAATGTAGACTGGTGCACAAATGTGGAATACACATCTTTAGGAGTGTTATAGAAAGATGGTTAAAATCTATCTTTTTAATTATTATTATTTTTTTGTTTTTTAAAAAAATATGTAAAAAATATGAGAAATAATATAACTTAAAATGAGTTAAAAGTTGGGAAGTAATTTTTAACTTAATTCTCCAAAAAAGACCTCAGTCACTTTTTTTAAGACAATCTGAATCATCATTTGACCTTAATCTATCAATGACACGATGAAGATATCAAGTAAGCAAACCCTAGTAGTGTATTCAAGTGAACAAGTGCCATTTGTCATTTAATAAATCAAAATATTTCAACTATCAAAACTTGAAAGAGTATAGGAGTGGAAACTTGTTGAAATTTTTGAGTAACGTTTAGTAATATTTACATTTTTAGTTTATGTTTATAAAGATTTTATAAATTTATTTTTGTTTATTTTTAGAAAAATATAAATTATAAACATGTTTAGTTTGAACAAAATGTTTGAAAGTTTTTAAAAATATAAACTAAAAAATATGTTTGTTTAGGTCTAAAATATTTATATTTATTTTTTATTATTTATGACAATGAGATCATACACATTATAATTGAAAAAAATTAATTAAAAAAATAATTGAAAAAAAAATTATTAGTCAAAATTTTAAATTTGTGTTTAAAAACCAATTTAAACTCTTTTTTTAACTTTACGTTTTTTTCTCAAATTTTTATAAATTGAGACAATCATTTATAAATCAAAAAAATTATCAAATAAGTTTTTCTTATAGTTTTTAAAATTTTTGTAAATATAAACTAAAAAAAAAACGAAATGACTACTAAACATGTCCTTATGATTTCAATTTTATAGCTTAGCATTTATCGAGTTTCTTGTAAGCCCCCCCCAAAAAAAAAATTTAATAAATAAATAAATAAAAATTTCTATCTGGTTTCTTTTCTCCATTTTTCTTGTTTGTTCCATTATATCATACATTTGTGTGTTTAGATTTATTGAATAAAAATCTCAAAGGTATGCAAGAAAGACGTGAAATGGTACCCGAAGATTGACATTTTGATGTTCTTCTTATTTTGTTTGTGCAAGTCTCGTTATTTACTATGCCATGAGTAATTTAGTGTATAAATTAAAAGATGTCTACAAAAATGTTATTAGATTTTTTTAAAATCTTATAAAATAAAAAAATTATAATACAGTCAATAACAGGGTAATAGATGTAGCAACCCCTATGGAAAATTATTAAGTACTTTTGGAATATTATGTGTCTATATTCCTTCATCAATTATTATTCATTATACCTCTCATGTTCGTTAATCATCAAATACAAAATTATTATTCATTATACCTCTAATTATAATATTATGAAAGATCACATTTTTTAAAATCTTATAAAGCATAAAATCTATAATTGTTGGCTTTTTGGCTTTCGAAGGTTATTTTTGTAATTATGAGCGTGCCAGCAAGGATCAATCAGTCCTTACAGAATTGTAATTGTCAAACAATTATTCAGACGATTGTGTTATGGTTCTTTTAGCCTCAATAAAGAGGACTTTTACTGGTGGCTTACTGGTAATTTGACTTCAGAGAACTTGAGCATAAGAACAGTTAAATAAACTGAAGCATTTTATTAGTATAAAAAACTTACAATGATCTTAGTTCCGTAGAGAATTACAGCGGCAATATACTCGAAAACTACTCCTACAAATGAAGTGCAGCGCAGGAACTTAAAGTACAGAAATGTAAAGGACAGGAAATAATACTGGAATATGTAAAGTAAGACTGGTTTTCTTTTGATCTTTCTTTTTTTTTTCTTTTTCTGAAGTCCTTCCTGCTATTTATACTCTCCGAAAATAACCATCGAATTGTACTTCAAACCGTCGAACTGCTCCTCCGTGATCGCTGATCATGCTACCTTATAAGTAGTTCCACTACGCCTTCACTTGCAGTTAGGCTTCCCCCCTATATTCGAATTTGAATGTGAACAACTGTTGAAGCCACGTCACCGTACATTTCTTTGTTGATCCGCTACTACTCAGATCTTATAACAACCAATATTAACTGCCACGTGTATGGTCAGGATCGAAAACCTGCCTGGTCTCCCCATATTACCCTTACTTTGCCACGCGTCGAATTGTCACTGGCTAGCACAAAATGTGTAGCCAACATTACCCCTCGCACTAATATGCCCAAGACTTGGTGATATTAGTGGATCAGGGTCCTTTTTCCCACGTCTTAGAACGTGCATGGGTTTTGCATCTTCCCAGAAATGCAACTGTCACTCACCATCTGTATTAATACTCTCGTCTTGATCCTTTAAGTATTTTCACTGTCTTATTATTCGAACAGACTGATACATTTCATGGCCAAATTAATTCTTTCCTCCAATGATGAAGCATACGAAGAGTCATACGTCGATGCCATTTCTCATCGAAAGCATGCATTTATTAGCCACCTTTACCCACATTTCTATATTCAGGTCATGGATGCCTTTGCAAATTACCGACCTTTGGATTACTAACACATTGCTCTTAATCCTTCGATTCAGAAAGCTACAAACATAGACATAAGAATTTTTCCCTCTGACCTACCTTTACAGTTCGAACAAACTACTCTCAAACCTTTGATTCAGAAAATTGCAAATATGGATTTGAGCAACTCTTCTTCGCAAATTTCTGTATGGGATAAAGCTGCAACTTCTTCCTCTTCTGGGGGTTCTGACTGGACAAGCTGGTCAATACCTGAGACCTGTGATTTGAAGGAGCGAATCAACCATCATTTTGTTGAGTTCACTGACCCTTTAGAGTTTCCTTCCTATGCTCGAAGTTCAGTTGTTTATCCCTATGTGCCCATTGACCATCGGCGTAGTCTGGAGGAGAATCTTCTTGTAGCATGGTATACATCCTCCATGCCTACAAAGATAGTGCACGCTGCCCCCCGCCCAGAAGAAGCACAAGGGTATAACCCATCATTCTTAGCCCAGAAGGCAAAGATCTGTTCTTCTGACTGGCTTGATTATATTAATGCCTTTGTTCCTTCTACTCCCGTATCATCCTCGAAAACAGAAGCGTCCACACTTTCTTCTATGTCTCC